TCTAACACCAAAAGCTTTTCAAAGAATCCAAGAAGAAAATTAATAATTAATAAGTATAAAATAATAATTATAATTAATGGACTAACATGAAGAATAACAGAAACAAATATCAAATAAAGAGAGTATTTTGAGTCTTTGACCCTAGAATTTTTTTATTCTTAATGTTTTGAATAGGTAAAAAAAAAAAAAAAAAAAAAAAAAAAAAAATAAAGAGAGTATTTTGAGTCTTTTGACCCTAGAAATTTTTTTATATCTTAATGTTGAATAAAAAAAAAAAAAAAAAAAAAAAAAAAAAACAGAAACATAAATAATAAAATAACGAAAAATTAGTTGCTTAGTCCCTAAAATTTAATCAAAATTATTCATTTATCCATTATGAGAAAGAAAAGAGTAGATAATTAATTATTTTTTAAATATTGAATTTAATCATTTTTTATTGTTCTTGTTGAAGCTATTTAGTATTTTTAATCTTTAGATTTTAATTATATTTAAAAAATATTTAAAAGTATTATGCATAAAAATCCAGTTAAACTGTATTGAATCCGGTTGAATCTTCTAGTTTAGTGAACCCCTAACTCCACCGGTTCAATGACCAGTCCAGTTGTCAAAACATTGGTCCATAACATTTAAAATATATTTTACATGATATTTTTTAAAATAATCATTAAATTATTTTAACAATATATTTTTTAAAATATGTTAAAGCTCATACTGTTTTAAATATATTTTTTAGTAATATATTTTAAAGTAATTATAGTACTTATATATTGTTAAATTATCTTAATATGATATACACTGTATTGTTAAATTATTTAATAAAAAAATTAAATCACATTATTAAGTAATAAAGTAATTATAGTACTTATATATTGTTAAATTATCTTAATATGATATACACTGTATTGTTAAATTATTTAATAAAAAAATTAAATCACATTATTAGACTAAATTAATCATCATTATAGTATTTATACTATGAGAATACATAGAAAATCTAATTATTAAATTTATCTTTAATATAAATTGTTTATGAATAATATAATAGATGAAAATGCATTATTTATATGATGAAAAACTAAATTTTTTAATATTATATCAAATGTTGAAAAATATTTTTCAAGAATGTTTTATGTAAAACCAAACGTCGAAAAATAATATGTTTTCTTATAAAATATTTTTCTGCAATTTATTTTCCAGAAAGTTATTTTCTGGAAACAAACGGAGCCTTTATAGAACTAATGGTTTGAGTGGTTTACATGTTTCTCTCACATTATTATTATATATTTTTATTGCACATAGTGTGTTAATTTTCCAGGTTATATACAATGGTGAAATAAAGAAGAATTATAGGTTTAGAACTTTTGATTTGAAGGATTGAAAATGTAGTCAAACCCAAAAAAATAATGAACAATAATAACCCCTAAGTTTTAAGTGTCTCATTGTGTTGAAAATATCACAAAGCAAAGTAAAGAAAAATTTCATGTTGGTCATTTCACTACTTTACTATCAATTAATACTAAAGATTTAAGTATAAGTCAATACATTTTTTACACGAATTTGGACTTGAGTTAAGGATTACAATTTACTATCAAATAATTTATATGCTTTCGATACATCTATTGCAAAGGATGTTCTAATAACATACAATATAGATTTACCACAGTAATATTATTGTTTCAACTACTAATATATACATAAATCGAAATGAGTTCTTAACATTGTCTCTTAGAAAATTTTTGGATGGAATAGTAATCTTCTACTATTGATTATTGAGTTGTACTTTTTATTAACCTTTTTCACTTATTGATACCAGCTAAATCTTTTTTTTTTTTTAATTTTTAATAGGTAATCAATTTTGTTTCTACTATGTTGAGAAACGTCGAACAACAAAATAAAAAGTGCTCAAATTGGTATTTGCTACTTGAATTTTTGATAATATTTTGTTGTTAATATTCTTATTCAAAAATCATATTCATACACACATCTTTTTGCATATTTAGTTTCTATAATCTTTGAATTTTATTGTTTCTGAATCTAGACTTATGTATTTGATGGGATGAAAAATGCAAGATCTTTTATTAGATGAAAAAAATTGGAACTAAATATAGGTATTTTGGTGATTGTGAAAAGTAATTGCATCCATAATTGTATTTACTATTATTAGTTTATCTCTCAAGGACTTTTCCAATTTTAATAGAATTATTTCAGATTTTTATTCCAATGCATGACAATAATATATGATGACATTTTTTCTATATGTTGTTCATATCAAAAAGAAACTAGCAAAAATATTAAATTCATTACCAACATTTTCAAATTTTTATTGAACGCGACTAAATCTATAAAAATTGGTATGTATAAAAGTAAAAATATCATATTATAATAGTTTGTTTGAATCTAAATATTTTAATAATTTATATAGAATTAGTTGAAATATTTGGATGATGCATTGAAGAGTGATTTGCAATCTAATGATATAGTTCTGCAAATTTCAAACTGATGATGGGAGCAAAACACCAATCCAAGACAATGGGCAAGTAATATTTTAATTATTGTACATTCTTTTATATTCAGATGTAAATATATTTATATAATGTTTAACTTAATTTATTACTAGGAATAATTGTAGGATGTATACAATTAAATTTATGCAATTATTTTATTCCTTTGAAGAGCTAAATTATAATGTAAAAATTCTATATCTAACTAGTAATTTTAATACTTCCTTTTTGGACAACATTATTAAAAAATTTGTTGCCTATTAAATTATTATTTAGTTTCATAGTGAAAATGAAAGGTTAGAATTGATACTAAACATGATCAAGTCAAAGATCAATAAAAGTATGAGCAAGTTGGAATATGAAGTAGAGGCGTACCAAAAGGAAGAAATTTCGAAAGCAGCCACCTAGGATAGATAGAAGAAGATTTCCTATACTAAAATTCAAATTGGGTTTTATGAAGACGATAGTGTTATTGAAATTGAAGACTCTAGTTCATAAAAACAGAAAACGTGACAATTAACCTTATTGCCAACAAAATTATTTTTTGTAACATAATAGTAGAAGTTTGAAGAGGCAGTTGATTATGTTTATTTCAACATAGACATGTTTCTACCATTTTTGTGGTTACGTGGCTACATATGTTAATGGATTTAAATATTTAGATTATAATGATATATCAAGTTGTTTGATTATTCTCATTTTTTCTTTTTGGAATGAAAATATATTATTAACAACTTGATCAGGGCTAAAATCAACAAGAATAGAAGGAGACAAAAACTCTGCTCTTGAGCACCAAATATCTTGGATTTTATCATACCATAAAGTGCAGCGAAATCAAATAATACAGTAAATTATTATACCATCGTTCAAACCATTAAAGCAATAAAATTTATTTGGAAGCATACCTCTTTTTTTCTTATTCTTTAAAACTTCGTTCTACGTTATTGCCGCAAATCACAAGCTATTCAATTGCACAGCCTCTAAACACAAGCCATCCACATGATCAGACAGTTGAAAAATTCTAAAAATCATTTTGGAGAGTTGAGAAAACAAAGAGTATGATGGTGCTAGCTATCTGGCGCTAACTACTACTTCATGATTCAAATTCTCCACTTGTATTACCATTTTTTGAAATATGTCTATATATTGTCTCAAGGATTCTCCTTCCTCCTTTTCAAATCCAAGAGGTCAGAGGAAATCTTTCTATTGGGATGCTAGTGACAAACTTGGATCTGAAAAGGGAAGCTAATTGCGAGAACGAGTCAATGGATCTGAATTTCAATGTTCGGTACCATTCTTGCACCACCCCTTTCAATGTTATAGGAAAAATGCGAACATAATCTCATCTGAGTTTTTCTGTAAGTACATGACGGTTCTAAAGTTAACCAAGTAATTTTTTGGATCAGTTGAACCATCATATATTCAAATACTAACATCTTGAATTTAAGAGGTAAAAGGGCAACTAATATGTTTGCTGATAAAGGTGAATCATACCTAAGTCCATAATTACTCGAGCCACCTCCTAACTCTTTGAATTTTCTCAATATTTCTCTGACTCTTGAACGTCAATCGGCGTCAGCAGTAAATCAAGTCATACTGCTATGGTTAGAGCGAATAAAGTACGTCTTGTCTTTACATGAGGCGTCATCTCTATCGTCTTGGTCTCCTTCACAGAGTTTACTTATACCTATTTTGGTAAGCCCTTGGGATTTTGATTCGGCAAGTTATAAGGATGTGTTTGAACATTATCAGGGGGCAGATTTTGGTTCTCTAGATGTACAAAGATCAGTGGTTGCTGGTTGGCTATCACCTAGGTAAGTTTTCTAGAATTCCTACAAAGTTGTTCAAAGCTGCTTCTATTTAAAGATTCGAATTTTTGACGAGGGTCAAGTTGCTAATATTGCCTCCTGTTTGTTGTCGATGAATGGTGCTACTGTATCAACCTGAACTTAATTAACAGCTGAATTCAAATCGTTGGCCATTAACGTTGAGAAAGAGATGTGAAGTACAAATAGGACTAAAAGAAAATCTGACTGTTCCATGTTCACTGCACCAATTGGCAACATCTAAGATATCAAAGAATATTTTGAAAAGTTGTGTTTTTTTGATTTTCAGATTGCATACCCTTATGAGAATTAGGGTAGTATATATAAAGGCATTTCCTAAACTCTAAGTTAGCATTTAAGAATGAACACATCTTCATATCTACTTGCAATTCTTTATCAAATATTCATTTTAATCACTGTAATTATGAGAATTTCATATATAAATTTCCGATTAATCCATAATAAATATTTATATTCTATCACTTCTTAATAAACTTTTAGCTAATTCCGTTGTTTTTATAAAAGAAATAGCAATATTCTGTGTCTGGTTTTAGAAAGTGGAATCCCGTCCCTCCTAATTTCACTGCGCTTGTTTTGGATTCTAATTTGGCTTAATGGAGTTTACATATTTTCCATAAAAGAAATAGCAACGTCATTAGGTGAATTTTGTCCTTTTAAGCCGCGAAATTTCTCTCACATGTTAGGTTTTGATCTTTATGTTATGCCAAGAAATTTCCCCCTCGCGTCTATTGCGATCCTTCGATCGAGGTATGAGCACATGTCTTGAACCTGACAAATACCTACTTGAAATATAAATATTATTAGGCCAGCTCAGCTCTGGTCCTACATGCTGATTCTTCTTCCTCCCCGCAATTTCATATCCTTTCCTACTAGATCCTCTCTCCCTTTCTACTTCGCCAAAAGCCATTGAACTCAAAGCTTACCGTAGATCTCAAAATTCAATGGCGGGAGTCATTCAAACCTTATTTCTCACACCTCCCTCACCTCAAAAGCTGTCTTATCACCACCGATTCTCTAATTTCCGGCCAATCTGCAAGCCATACTTTACCCGCTCTTCTACCATTTTCAATCCGAGCCGTTCGATCAAGATTCCTACTAGAATCAGAGCATGCGAACGATCTGATAAGGTTCTTTTTGCAATTCTAACTAATTATAATCTTCATTTTCACTAATATACGAGTTGCATGGCGAAGTTGTAGAATTCATTTGGAAATGATAGGATTTGGTTACATGAACTTTAGTTTTGATGGGTGAAACTACCATTTCCATCATAGCCTAGTACATACAATTTTTTCTTTTTTTGATTTTCTCTGTCATTGAAGGTTTATTCATTGCATCGTAGGTATATGGAAATGGAAGTGGAAGTGGAAGTGGAGCTGCTAAAGCTTCGGGTTTGTCATTGGGGAATCAGCTGTCAACTTTTGTAGACAGGAATTTTCTTCCACTAGGTAATGATACTTGTTAATTAGTTTTAATTTTAGTTATCGAAGTCTTTAAGATACTATTGGTAAAATGTAATACAATACTCTATAATGTAATGTAGTCAAATGCATTTTATGGCTTACGAGATGTAGCCTCTGGTTATGAATTCATATCTTAATTTGGTTTTCTTTTTCTTGTTATTTATTTATTTTCTTATTATTTTTGCAGCTCTTATTGGTGGAGTACTGTTAGGACTTGCAAATCCAAGTCTTGGTTGTATTGCTGATAAATTTTATCTATCAAAAATTACTACAGTTGGGATATTTTTCATCTCAGGTCGGAGTATCAGTCATTTCTTGTGTTGAGGTATTGAATCATTTATATTTGCAATATCCTCATTTTGCTTTCCTTATGCCTTTTCACTTTTACAGGTTTGACATTGCAAAATGGGGAAATTGGTGCTGCTGTAAAAGCTTGGCCTGTGGGACTTTTCGGCCTTGTATGTCCTTGATTTTCTTTGTGCCATTATGCATTTTGTCCTTTATAAATTTTGTCCTTTCTTTGTTTTTGTGAAATTTGCTTCTTTATATTATTTTTTCATCCTTCTTCTTTTTAGTTGTTTTCTTTTATACATCTTACTCATATGATGTTAGAAATTGATGAATATTTCCTTCTTCTTTTTCTGTGAACTGGTACGATTTTTTCGAAATAAATTTTTCTATATAACAATGGAACAAATGATGATGAGGAGCATTTTGGAAATAAAAACTTTTGGAGATTCATTTCTTCTTATTTTGTTCAACTTTTAGTCAAAGAACTACTGAAAAAATTAATTATTATGTTATTCTTGTTATTGATCTGATGGTTGAATTGGTAGCATAACTAACTATGCAAATTGTTATCTCCTAAACTACAATTGAGATAACGAGTCCAGAAGAAAAGGAGTATAAAAAAATTTCCCAACATTTATCAATTTCATGCTTGTATTAGTTTACCCATTGACTACGAAACCCTACACTGAATTTAGTTATGCATGGGTGTTCTCAGAATACAAACGTTTTCTTTTTTAGTTTATAGGGAAATAATTTTAATGGAGCACTTTCAGTTTTCTACATGCCATGCTTTCCATAATCTATAGCTCTGAACTAGTAAGCAGTTGGAAAGGTTTGTGAATTATTGTTTCTTACCTTGTTATGTAATGGTGATGCTTTAATGTAGAATGCCTTCCATTAACATTGATTGATTGAAGATGCTTACACCTTGTTGCGACTGGAAGTAAACTGAGTCAGAATGAGCTTTCTTGTTATATCTTATCATTGATGTTTTGTTCTAAGTGTCTTTTACATGTTCATCTAAGAAATGGTGGGAGCTTTTGTAAAACTGACAACAAGCTACTGAATCATAGAGGGAAGGGAGTATTTTTGGACATTTCAAGCATCTTATAAGCATTAGTTTTAACATCTTATAAACCAGAGCATCATGGTTATCACTTGTCATGTTGCATAGGTAGTATTCATTGTAATATAGATGGTTGATTCATGATCCTCTTTGAATGCAGTTTTCCGTTTTATTGTTCACACCATATTTTTCAAAGATGATTTTGCAAATTCAGCTCCAGCCACAGGAATTTGTAACAGGTAAGGGGGAGCTGTTGGTAGGTGAGAATAAGGGAAGAAAGTGGTAGATCAATTACCTGTTCGCTTGCCAAAGGAAAATTTTAGTTTTTGTAGGTGAAAATGTTCTGTTACTCTTCTTTCAAAATCAGTCCACAATAGCTGTTTTGGCCATTAGTTCCAAAATGCTAGCATTTTGCTCTACTTTCCAGATAAGCAGGGGTATACTGGAAACTGATGTACCACCTGATACAATGGTAGTGAATAATGTTCAAAATCATTGATAGTGCTGGTGGATAATGAGGAAACTAGTGTCACACTTGAAATATTAACTGCATTGTAAAAAAAACCAAATTTTCATCAATCATGCTTGAAAAAGTTTTGAATGATTTAATTGTTATGTTTAGTTAGGTTATGCTTATCACTTTAAAGAAACCATAAACTCAGGCTCCTTGTGAACGGTTAAGGCCTATTTATGCTGTCAGCTAAGGTTCTTATAACTGAATATATACCTATTAAGGTTTGGGCATTAGAACTAGCCAACTTTGGTACTTGTTGTAGCATCCTCCATTACATTTATGAATGATAATTTTTTATCCTTAATCATATGCACAAGTGTCAATTCATCTGAATGATCACTCGTGTATGTTAGTTTACAAAATTTGTGATGGTAGCCTAAAGGAACTTTTGCCATTTATTTTGTGGCTGGCTCAGGGCAGTGGTAGAGATAATGTTTATATCTTTGATACCAAAAGTTTCAGCTTGAGTTCCTTTGTTCTGGGGTTCCATTATTTTTATTCCAGGTTCCTGACTTGGACACTTTGTATGACACTCATACATCCTTTCTAATCTATTACCTAAGCAAAAAAGAAATGGAAGATGATGTTATCATATGCAGTTGTGTGTATGTATCAGTATACAGTTGACTTTTGTTTGTCTGTTCATGCATTTATGTATGGATAATATTTTAAGAGCTTACAGCAATTCCATTGTTAATTATGATACCTTTGTTTTTGGCTGTTGGAATGTTCTAGTGCCTTGTTTTTGGTCATTGGAGTTCAAAAATATTTATATTGTTGGATCTTTCAATGTATGTACCTTTATGTTCCCCCCACCCCAACCCCCCCAATTAGGGGTTTCATAATATCATATAAAACGGTGATTGGCTACTTTATAGCTTGATAGCAAACTGTCCAACATAGTCAATCTTTCCCACAGGACTGGCTTTCTTTTGCTGCATGCCAACTACATTATCAAGTGGAGTTGCTCTAACTCAGGTTTGTTAATTTCATTTTTCTTTTTTTATGTACATTTACTTTTTTTTTCCCTTAATTTTCTCGCAAGGAATGACTTTATATGCTTAATGGCATCTTTTCATTCCTCAAATGCAGCTGGCTGGAGGAAACTCAGCACTTGCTCTAGCAATGACAGTGATATCAAATCTTCTAGGAATTTTGATTGTAAGTTATGTGGACAGGGGACTTGGTGTCTGTTAAATTTATCCTATTGCATGTGAATTAGAACTGTTAAGGATGCAACTGGGCTGTTTGCATAGGTGCATTAAATTGCTGCATGATTTCTCTGACATTAGTATTTATAAGCATAATTGTGTATGAGGAGTTTAATTGGTTGCCTTTAAACTGTCCCATAATTTGAGATCTTGACTGTCCATTTTGTCCTGTCAACAGTATTCGTAAGCATAAAAGTAATGGCAGATATTAAGTAAAAATGCCAATATACAAACATATTTTGGTCTATTTTAAATCTTGATGGTTTTTAATATGATGTTGTCCCAATGGAAAACATTTAAGATGATGGTATTTATATTCATTGATATATTATTTTGCTTAAACTCCTGTTCTTCACTACATTTCATACTTATTGCTCACTGAAAGTGTGATACTGGTTATACTGGTTGTAGGTTGGTGTATCTGTTCCATTTTATGACTCTTTTTCTCTGTTTATTTTCACTATCTATTGTATATCACAGGCTTTTCCTTCATTTTATTTCTGCTAAAGTCAATTTATTTGCGCCAATTTTCAGATACCCTTTTCTATCTCCAAATTTATAGGTGCTGGTGTTGGTGTATCTGTTCCAACTAAGCCACTGTTGAAAAGTCTTGTTCAAATGCTTCTAATCCCTCTTATTGTGGGAAAGGTAATATTCTGGTATCTTTTTGGAACCTGCTAAATGAACACAATGCCGTGATTGTACAGAATTATGTTATCATTAAAACTGGGGCCTCACTGAAATTCTGAAGTACGTGGGTCTACATGAGATGTCCAATAATTGTATAAATCATTTATGAATTTTAATTCGATTCCCCACCCATAAAATCTTAACTTTCTGTGAGCACATTTATTAAAAATTTTAATTTCTATATTTTAGCAGATAGCTGTGGTGATATTATCATTTGTTATCAATAATTCATATCTTTTGATCTACAGGTTTTTCGGGAATCCTCCAAAGGTAAGTTTTTATTCTATTGAGAAGTTTGCTGGCCTTTCTGTAATATTTTAAAATGAATCAAATATGTGGATCCCAACATTTAACTACCATAGAAGTAACTCCTTTGTCAAATAAATTAATTAGTTTTTCTGAAATTGTTCTCTTTTCTCTTTTCATAATTTTCTTTGCTTACCAAAAAAGGGAAAGGCACTTTATTCTATTTGGAAATTCCTCTAACAAGGCATCTGTATAGGAAGGAACATTAGGAAGCACATGAAATTGTCCGCTATTCAGTAATGTGAAGCTGATCTTGGGAGAAAGAATGTGGAAAGTACTGTCATTCACTATTCTTTTACATGAAACGGTTGTTGTCAGTTAACCTTTATGGTTGCAACCTAAAACTGAACATTGACTGTTGCATCAAACAATGACTTGTATTTAGCTCATGCTCCATGCATCATAGTTAGCTTGGTGAAATATTCACTTGAAATTTGAGGAGAAATAGAAAGAATATATATGTCATCTATATATGGAGAATAACTGTTGAAAACAACTTTGAAACACCTTTTGAGATATTGTATTTTCTACTGAGATACTATTATATGCCTCTTTCAGGAATGGCAGATTTTGTTGATAAAAATCGGAAGCTTTTCTCGAAGTTGAGTGCAATCTTCCTCAGTTTAGTAAGAGCCCCATGCCTTCAATTGCTTTTCCTTTTATTTTATTCTTTTTGTTTTTGAATTTTGTTTTACCTATTTAATTGAATGTTTTTTTCTTCCAGCTTTGATGGCTATTTTGAAATAGAGTGTCTACCATACAAACAAAATCTATTGTAGTTTATATAAATAGATTAACATTTAAGCTGAAAGACAAGTTAAAGTTCAATTTTTTGGAAATTTATACTGGCTTAAGAGAAAAGAGATGCACTGTGGCTTAACCTGTTACCTGTTTCAGAATAGTGATTTAAGGTCTTAACTATTCATTTTGCTAGTCACTGATCAGTACTGTAAGTTTAATCTTTTTCAAAAATAATTGGTTATTGTGTTGTCTATAGATTAATTTTCCTATAGCTTTTTGGATGTAAAGTTTTGGATTGTAAATCCCATGATATATAGTAGTTATATTGGTGTCATCCACAGTATTATTAGAGTGTAATCTGGTGAATGGCTTCAATTGGCTAGTACTTCAAGTGCACATACACCAGATATCAGAGATCCAGTAACCTATATAGCTTCATTTGAACTATTTTGATCAAACAAAAAAGTTGACACCTCCTTCTGGGATAACTTTCATCATCTTTTTTTTTTCTCCAATTGGCACTTGAGAACCTCACTTGAGTCAGTCTACTATTGGCCTTTTGTGTGGAGAAGCTGTGGAACTAAGCAATAGAAAGAGCTAATACTCGAGATATTTGAACTAAGAATCGCTTTCCAAATTGAGCAAGTGTTATTTTCAAAATTAACGTAAAGTTGAGGATTGCAGTGGGAAACAATTGAAATGCTTGTCCAGCTGTCAGGTAGAATAATGAGCCCTATGTGTGCATTATTTGTGTTTCAAACAGCCATTTAAATTGAAGTCATATAACAACTAATTTTGAATGAACTCGAGTTGATGAGAATTAGCACAATGATGGAGATTGACATGATTGGAAGGCTTTTACCAGTCATCTAATCATGTTTTTCTCATAGGAGGATGACTTACTCTTGTAATTTTTTCCTTTCAGTTACATGATAATGAATTATAAACAAATAACTAGTTTCTCCTTAATTGTTGAAAAAACCTAAATGTTACATGTGTGTCATTGTCAGTTTTTATTTTTAAAGAAGTCATATTGAATTGAATTCTAAAGCTTTTATATTTGATTAGGCTCCATGGATACAAGTAAGCAGGTCAAGCTCGCTGCTCTTAATGGTTAAGCCTGCTGTTTTCCTTATAGCTATTGGGATGGGAATGTAAGTTTTCCACCTTATTTTCGTCATACCTTTTAAGTTTAATGTTTTCTAAAAGATTTTAATATATCGTTCCGCACACCTCGTCCTTTTCCCGCAAAATCTTGACCCGTCCCAGCAGGTAATGTATTTCTCATACATTACACGTAAAGGACTTTGAGGGATGATGCCGTGCCGAGTGAGGGAACAACCTTGGAAATGCTGCCTTCGTAGTTCCACGGCTGTCACAGCGAGCGCCGACGGTGTAGCAATAATGAGCCCTTCATGGCCTGCATCTGATAATTTAGTGTTTCACACACAGCCATTTACAATTCGCAGTCCACCTCTCATCAACAATCTAAATTTTGAAATGGAGAACTCCCTCTTCACGCGTATTTGACATGATCGAATTTATAAACATGATTGGATAGAATTGGCTATGAATATGGAAGCTTGTTTACCAGTGCACTCTATATCTAATGTGATTTTTCTCAGCGCTCAAGCAGGACCATGACTCATATTACCTTCTTGTAAATTATTTACTCCATTTAGTGTATACTGCCTTAATCTGGAGTAATATGGAGCAGTCTAAGTTCAAACACCACATAGATAACTAGTGTTCTCCTGTAACTGTCCCGCTCGACTGGTTGGACAGAAATAACTCGGTCTACTCGATCAATAGCCGGCGATGTACACACACTTATACATCCGACTGTCGTCATTCGTTCAGTTTTTGATTTTTTATAAGAAGTGGCATATTTGAATGAATCATGGTCTAAAGCTTTTTTATCATTTGAATTAGGCGCCTCCGTATGGCGGATACAAGTCAACAGGTCAACGCATACGCTGCTCTTAATAGCATTCAGCCTGTTCTCTGTCCTTTCTCACTCTAATAGCATCTCTTTGGTGTGGCTTATGTGAATGTAAGCTTCTAATCCACCTTAATTTTCGTTTCATGACCTTTTAAGTTTAATGTCATCTCTAAAAGCGATTCGTTATTCAGCATGTATGTAGTAGCATATCGCCATGATGACGCCACCTGTGTATCACTAGTATAGCTAATATCAAGTACTATATCAGAATTTCTGCTTTGCGCAGATACGGCACAATCAGCAGCAAGTCCTAGTGTCCATCATCAAGTTAATGGGCCCAAGTTGGGCTGGCACATTCTTCAACTTATTAAGACAAGTGTGAGTATTGTACCCCAAGAATCATTCAACACATTAGCTCTGGTGTCTAAATGATCCACCTCGCTGGTATAACGCTCATCAGAATCCCTCAATTTACCCGACACCCCTTAAAATTCGAGTTGAACGGAGCCTCGATACATATATAAATATATATCATCTGCTTGGCAAAGCACAATCAAATAGGGTCCATTAGTTAGGCCCAATGGGCTGGCAATTTCATATTGGCAAGTAAATGTCTCCCAAATTTCACCATATTGGTGTAAACTTCCACTATAACGTAAGAATCCTCAATACCCACACCCTTAAAGAGAACGAGGATACCAACTAGGCTGTACCTGATGACAGCTTTTGAGTAATAATATTAATTTTCTTCGGAAATTAGTATTCTCCAGTCATTAGCTATAGTCCCCTTGTTTAATATCTGCCCCCATAATGCATGTATTTGTACTGATTCTGGAAGTGAAACTTCAAATTCATAGACTTGCCCTTTTAGGAACCCTTTAGGTTGGTCTAAAGTCATGCAGAGTTTTTGTAGCTAATGTAGGTTGAAACATTCATAATATTTGTTACTTTTACCTTGGGGACGAACATCTGGTGTTATGGTTGGATTCAGAAATTGAAAATTGCTAGTGCATGGATTTAACCTTTGAAAGGAAACACTATTATTAGTTAAAAGTTTAGGACCTGTCTGATTCCACCTCCGAGCAGCTGAATAAAGGTATTGGCAGCAACCTTTCATTATACTTGGGTTGGGATATTGCCAGTACACAGGGAGAAAGAGGAAGGGAATGCGTGGGTTGCTGTAATGGCAGTGATGGATGCAAATGTTATAAATTGCTGATATCATTCTGTAAATGGATGTAATGTAAATTTCAGCTTGAAATGTAAAGAAATTGGCGAGATCTCACTTGTGCCCTTCATTCTCAGTTGTAGTGGCTAAACAAGTTTTTGCTTCAATATAGCGTCATCAGCTGACTAAACTGTCTCCCTTTGTTGCAGAATTCTGCATTTATTCCTACTTGGTTTTAATGCTCTCGTTTTACAAGGCCTCTCAACTGTATCTGGTGGTGACCAATCAGTTTTTGCCAAGAAAGAAAATGCCAGTGCTTTTGTCCTTGTCACAAGCCAGGTGAAGTTTGATTGCATCCTCAATTAGATACGTCTTGTAAAAAAAATTCCACTACCAATCCCAAAATGCTTGAATTTTCTCTGTACTGTCCAAAGGTGCACGGGTTTTCTATGAGAGAAATGTTGGCTATTATGAATTTTTCGTGGATGGGAGCTGGAGAGAAATGGACTGAGAATTATTTTCACTAGCATTTGCTAACAATATTTTCCACTCATTTTTTCTTTATTGATTTTTTGAGGCTCGGTATGTTCACATGCTTGTGTAGAAAACTCTTCCAGTGTTAGTGGCAGTAGTGGAACAGCTTGGTGGTGCATTTGGTGAAACCGGTTTGCTGGTTCTTCCTTGTATTGCTGCACACTTGAATCAGGTTTTTTAATATTCAAAGATTTTCTTTTTCCTCTTTTTTATCCTCCACAAGGATCTGACATTAAAAAATAAAATTGTGTAGATCATTATCGATTCTTTTCTTGTCAATTCCTGGCTCCGGAAGGATTCTGCATCGAAACAAGTGAAGTTAGCCTGAGTCATGGGAATGCATACCATAATTATTCGACACAAGCAAATATTATTTGCAAACACACGGAGTTTGTATGTTACTGGTGCAAGTGGTTAGCAAATCTGACAATCGAGTCTCGTATCAAGAGGATGTAGATTTGCAAGAATTTTGCTACAGGCCACTCTTACGTGCATTGGTCTCCTCCATCTTGCATCCCCAGACACACACACACCTTGTGTTTTTGCTCATTGAAAGAATAAATTGCATGTATCTGTAGTTAATATAAGTAGGGACTTGAACTCAATATTGTTTATTGAATTGCCAACTCATTGTTCTGTATTGTTTTCTTTCTCTTTTCTCCTGAGGCAGGACCAATCTAGTTTTATATTTGTAGCCAGCTTTTTCTAATTGGCATGCCTATTTGAAACATGATAAATCCGTCGAAGCTTTAACCCCCATACAAGGCTTCAATTAGTTTCAACCTATGGACATTGGAAGACTTGAAAAGCTGTACATGGTATTTCGAAGAAATGTGAATTTTATTTAATTTGCAGATGGACTTTGATGTTTGATGAATTATAAAATTGTGCCGACTTATATTTAGAATTATTAGTTTTACTGGTTTTTATCCTCGTTAAGCATAGAATTTATTGGCCCATTTTATTAATTTTGGAAAAGTTTAATGCAAAAATAACTAATTTTATGATATAGTGTAAAAATTTTATAAAAGTACATGAAATATGAATTGAAAATAAATTTTATTAAAGTACATGAAATTTATTAATATCAATATGGAACAGTGTACATGGGAGATTTATTTATTTTTCCTCCGGCGAGGAATGGACAAAATAAGGTTTACATAATATGCATAGGTTACAAGCCAACTCTTTGTGAATGTTACTCTGTTTTATAATAACAACACAGGTCCAAACTGGGATAATTTTTAAAACAAATTCAAGCCGTGTAAGGTAGGTTTGAATTACTGGACCATCTGTCAAAATCAGAGTTCAATTATTAGAAAATACATTTATGAAAATAGCCACCAAATTAATAATTATATTTCCTCAGTCTCATTTTATTTGTTTGTTATTCATTTTTTTATATCTCAAAATATTTACTAAATTTATATATTTAAACAATTATTTTTTTATAATAATTTTTATAATTGTTTATTAAATGAAGTGTTTTTACTAATATCTTAACGAGTTAAGGGTAAAAAAAGAGCAAAATAATATTTATTGACTAAATCATTAACATGCATTTTTTGTTAAACCATGCAGATAAAATGGGAGGAAAGAAATATTATTTTATATTTAAAAGGGTATACAAGAATACTAGTTAGAACTTAAAAAAAAAAAAAAAGAACAGTTTGATAATTCTTTTTTTTTTTTTTAATCTCTCTCCTCTCTTTCTTATAGTGTTGACGCCAGCCCATCTAGGCCCACTAAGTTCATTAGGCCTGGAAACCCAAGATAGCCTACAAAAGGAAGGTTTTTTCATCAACAATCTCTTTGGCCCATTGGTGTGTACTTACTCTCCAAAACATTTTAGAAACTGCTTTGTTTGTGCAGGAAATGGGATCTTAGTAAAGATAGGAAGAGCATTTATTGTAAAAAGACATCACGATGTATATATTAAACTTTTGCTAAAATCAAGGCATCTATTCTCTCTCTCATTTTCAACCTTTTTTTCCCTCCTATTCTTCGTCACCTTCGTCCACTGTGTTTTTCTATCATTGGATTGATGGTCCATGACCTACATGTTCATGCAGTTCCCCAACTTACATTAATTGATAGAAGAAACATTTTTTTTTTCACTATTTTTTGATTTTGTGAAGATATCAAGTGGTTCCATGTCATCTAAACCATAACATCAATCTCTAAAATTAGGGGATGAAGTCTTAGCAACTGGACCTTTAGTAGTTCATAGGTTAATGACTTTTTCAAGAATTCGATCTATGGACATCTAGATATTGGATAACCAATTGGTAATTTGAGTAAATAGGTGAATACACTCGAAACAATCAACTTATATTTTCCTCGTACTCTCACTAGCCAATTTGCATCAATACTTCAATTAATCAGGGTGGATAATTCAAGTCTCAACAGGAAAACACTGCAACCAAAAGCAATTCTTAAATATTGTTCAAGTAATGGCTAGATTGACAATGGCTGAGCACGATCTATGGAGATATGTTGCCAAGAGCTTAGCTACGACAATGGTTAAACTTACAATATGGCGAAGTTCAACTGTTGACTCGACCGCAATAATAAATACCATCAATTATCACAATTGAGTTCATTATTTCGGCAGAAGTTAACTGCCCAACTCAAAACACATCTATCAGCCTCTAAGTTGAGGCTAGACAGATTGGAGGTGTCTTCACAAATGACACACTACAACCTAAAGCAATTCTTAAATACTCTTCAGGTAATGGTTAGATTGATCAACGGCTGAGCACGATCTGTGGAAGATATGTTGCCAAGAGCTTAGCTACGACAATGGTTAAACTTACAACATGGCGGAGTTCAACTGTTGACTTGATCGCAATAATAAATACCATAACTTATCACAATTGATTTCATTATTCCGGCACAAGTTAATGGCCCACCTCAAAACACATCTAGTAGCCTTTAAGTTGAGGCTAGACAGATTGGAGGTGTCTTCACAAATGGCACACTACAACCTGAAGCAATTCTTAAATACTATTCAAGTAATGGTTAGATTGATCAATGGCTGAGCATGATCTGTGGAAAACATGTTGCCAAGAGCTTAGCCATGACAATGGTTAAACTTACAATATGGCGGAGTTTAATTGTTGACTCGACCGCAATAATAAATACTGTCAATTGTCATAATTGAGTTCGTTGTTCTTGTACAAGTTAATGGGCCATCTCAAAACATATCTAGTAGGCTTTAAGTAGAGGCTAGACAAACTGGAGGTGTCTTCACAAATGACACAATAAGAAATGTTATTCCTCTCAAAATGGTTGGCCAGCAATTGGTACCCAAAACTCTTACCTTGGAATATGGCTCCAATGTATTAGTCAATGCTTTAACAAAGCTTGTTGTTAAGATATAACCTATCTCACGACCCATCTACAGGCAGCCATATCTTGAATGGGTTGACACTGTACTTGTAGATGCTCAATTTTTGCCCTAAAAGGACTTAGTGATAATAATCTTTTTTTATATAAAATGAAATCGGGACATCTGATTGTTCTGATTCTTAGATCGATAGTCAATGTTTAAGAAAAGTGAATTGTTTGACTGTTTTTCATTTTCAAGTCACCAGGGGTTTCATATCGAAATCGAGCTCGGGAAGCACCTCGAGTCCACTAGGGATGCATCCCGATGCATTGCCTCATTTTTCGTTCCACTCAGACCGTTTTAGTAAAAATGGGCTCGACTTGATTTTAGGGTCCACCACTTGCCACCTAAGCCCTAGTAAAAGGCCACCTCATTTCCCTATTTGCCTATAAATAGGGTAAGGATTTAAGAGATAAGGGGGAGAGGTTCTTGGATTATAAGGGGAAATTATTGCATTTTGTTTTTTGCTCTCATTTTTGATTTGAAGCTACATCTTATGCCTAGTAAAAGGCCACCTCATTTCCCTATTTGCCTATAAATAGGGCAAGGATTTAAGAGATAAGGGGGAGAGGTTCTTGGATTATAAGGGGAAATTATTGCATTTTTTTTCCTCTCATTTTTGATTTGAAGCTACATCTTATGATTGTAGCTGAATCTTGAGTGTTACTCATAAGTTTTGATAAAAACTCTCCTAAACCTCTTGATCGAAGATTAAACAAACATTCTCACTAATCTGGACCTCGGATCATTCAACAAGCATCAAAGTTTTTGGGTCTCTTGATTCATTTTCACACCAATCTTTGGATTTTCTCCAAAATAAGGTAACCCCTGAGAGTCCTGATCTTATTTCTTCATCTTTTTCTTTTTTTTTTTGGTGCATAAGACACCTATTTTTTATTGATTGTGAGGGAAACTCGTGATCAACCATTTGGCTCTGACTGTGCAAGTAGTGCGCAGGCCACTATAGTCTATGGCGTTACGCCACTACGTGTGGTGCACGCAACTCATTGCAAAGCAAACAATTCTATAATATCTTTCTCGGTTTCCTAATTAAGGAAGGTCCACATGCCAATATGTGTGGCGCACGAACCTTCATTTCAGAATCTCAAAGGCAATAAATTAATAAAATGCTTCGATTTAAGGTTTCATTCGAGTCAAGCACTAAGCAATCTTGCTTTGCATCGCGTAAATGACTTATAATGGTCCAAATAATTAATAAAGAATGAGATTTAAGTTATGATAGTCATATTTCTTCATCACCCATGTTCAACATCAAAGTCTTGAATCTAAGTCTTGCATTAATTTTGAATTAATGGCTTTTAATTTACTGTCTTTTACTTTTTATGCACTTTAAATTCCCCTCGTTTACATTTTTAAGCACTTCACATTTATGCCTCTTATTTATTATTATGCTAACCCTCCTAACTTTAGATTTGACTATTCAATTATTATAACATTTACATTACTATTGTGCTAATTATTATGATTGAATATTGCAGTGATTAATGTTCTGTGAATGGTTATTTTTACTTGTGTTTTGCTTCTTTTACTCATTTAATGCTTTTGTATTTATTGGCATAATGTAAGGGTCCATAATGGATTCCATAAGTTGCTTATTTGTAATATTATTGGGTTGGAAAATTTTAATGGGTTGATGGGTAGATTATAAGTTAGGCTATGGGTTGTAATTCTTTTCTCCTTCCCCCTTTTCTTTGCCTGTTTATGTTTCATGCTTTACTTAAATGCTATTGTTCATGATTTTTATATTTCAAAATTGTATTAAAACTCATTTTTCACCTCAATTAAGGTTAATCATATTATTAATATTGTGAATGAACAGACAATGAAGGAGGTGGGTTTTTAACCGGGCGATTCAAGTGCCTAAGTCCTTCTCGTGACCGTACCTAACTCCCTTACTCAGTCTCTGATTAAAATCGAATTGGTCATTTCCGAAGAAATGGCTAGTTCGTGAATTTTTTTCCCTAAAGAGGGTGTTGACTCCAAAAATAAAGTTCTTACCCAAGTAAAAATCATTTTCACAAAAACCCTTTTTCAAAGATAAGGCCGCCTTTCTAAGGATGTTAAAACGAGTTTAATAAGAGAAAAATGATTTGAAAAATTAAAATAGATCAAATCCATTTTTTAGTCATTCGTAAAAAAAAAAAAAACTATATATCCTCAGTCTGACGACTCCACTGAGGATCAAACCCAGAATCTCTGATTTTTTGATTTTGGGTTCGAGAAAGGAGTTGACTTTAATATTGTCCTATCATTCACATTTTTAATAATGTTATTAACTTGAAATTCAGTTCACATTTTGTATATATAATTCGCATTCATGCATTATTCTTTTCTTAATCTCTTTTCTACCTAAAACCTTCAAGGTGATATTAGGGGATGTGGTCCTTTCACTCTACTTGACTGTTGGGATCTGCCACTATTTACACCACCGTAAGTCTTGTACC